TTGATGAAGTAGGTACCTTATCTATATACCAGGACAGAGAGGCACTCTTGTGTTGTTTGTTTTTAACACCATTTACAGCAAGCTGCCAATCTTCCCAATTTTGTGTTTCTTACAGTCTTGAAGTAATATAGATTGGTCCCCTGGAGGTTATCTGTTCCGGCCCCTTCCTTCAAGCAGGGCCGGCTTGGATCGGGTTGGTCAGGGCCTTGTTCAGTCAAGTTTTGAATAATCTCCAAGCTGTTAGGTGCTGTTAGCCATTCTGGCATCGCGTTAACTTGCTACTGCAAATGGGTTGTCCTGTTTTGTTGTTTTCTGTAGCTAACTTTGGGGAAGAAAAAAATCTGTCTGGCTTTGAATGACAGTGCTGAGGAGACTAATTTCACAGTTATAGGAGGTTGCGTTCTTTGCATGCTGCTTGATGTTTATACGCCATTCACTCCCTAATTGTAGCGGTCTGATTATGAGTTTCCCATCTCCTTTATCCCTGTCTCGTCCGTATCGCACACATTCCGACACGCACGCTACACGTCTTTGCAAGCAAACGTTAAACATATAGCTAGAGTTTTTAAGACTTGTTGCTCCCTGGGTGGGATAGGACCACCCTGCTTGTACAGTCATAGGCTTTGCTCCAGAAATTGTACAGTAATTTCCTCCACTGGAGTTGCTTCTTTTCTTTGGATCTTACTGGGTTTAAATCTCTAACTTTTTCCTCTCTCTGTTTAAAAGATATTGCCTCGTAGAATATTTAGGTCTTGAAGGAGCTACCATTTTTTACTGAGCTATGTGCACAAAAAGTGGAAAGCATCCAAATAGTTGTAAACAACTTTAAACCCTAGAAATCAGAAGGAAAATCAAATAGACATTAACAGAATCTTTACTCTTCAGGTATTTGAAAAGAATGTGCCCTTTGTGCTTCCGAATTTTGTAATGTTCTCCAACTTTTGCAACTTGACATGTATTATTGATGCATTATGTATCGCAGCTGTATGGACAACACTCCTTGAGAGTAAGAAATCAAAAATGTAGTTAATACAAAAGTATATTGCCCTGTTATTTCACTATCTTATTGTTTTTTATGGGGCCACACTGCATGGAATGCAATTAAGGATAGTTAGAAATCATGGAGGGAAAAACTCCTCAAAATGGAATGTAATCTTTTAAAGAAGCTTGAGATAAATTACTGTCTAATGAGAACTCCTTTAGGTTATGTGGAAAGCTAGAAAAAATACAATGTTTCAGCTTACTTTCTGTTACTAAGTTATCCACAGAAGTATTCTTGGTGGCAGTGTGTTGAGAATTCTTGTGTGCTTATATTAGATGTTCACATTCTTGCAAGGTTCCTCTCCAGGAAGCAGAGTGGAGAATTCTGCAGGTTCTGTAAACCTATGGTATAATTAAAAAAGATTCCTGATGGCTTGTTGGAAAACTGTCCACAAAGAAAAATGGCCCAAGAATTCTTGGTACATTAGCATTCAAATCTCACTGACTTTAATCTCTGTTCTAGTAACAAATGAAGTGCATGTGTCACTCTTTAAGGAAAGCACTTGTGTGTTGTGTACAGCGATTACTTCACAGGCAAGTTTGTATATTGGAGAGCTTGATACCTGTATTTTTCCTTCCAAGGAAATACAGGAGAGTGATGTTAGTAACTAGAATGGCCCATTTTTTTTGACTGATAAAAGCAGGAAATGCACAGAATGTTAAATTTTTTCCCTCTCTTTTATGAGGAGAGATATATTAATCTCAGGTAACATCTGTGTGCTCTGACTCTCTCTTTTGTGGTTCCTGGCACTCACCTGGTCCTTTGGTGATCTAGTTTGGGAACTAGACCAGCGGAAAAGTATCCTTACAAGAAAGGAAATAGCACTTGCATGTCCATCTTCAGCATCATATAGGCTGTCCTTGTGTATTTAAACTAGGTATTAAGTCTCTGCATGCAGAGACTCTCTCTGATGTTAATTCTTGGAAAACTTGGTTTTGTCTGTAGCACTCAGCTGCCTTCTGAGGTAGGAGCGTTCCCGCTGCCACTTTCTGGATGATTATTTTCATTGTCATCATAGTCCTCCTCAGGCAAATTAACTTAATTCAAGAGTGAAGGATGATGAAGTGGGGTAATGATGTTTAGGGGAGCAGGGAATCGAACGATCCGCAAAAGAACTTGGAAGCAGGGGATAGGGAAGTGACCGTGGAGTTTTGCTGTATTTCACCACTGTAGTTTGGCATTGAGTGCTAAGATATAACTAAGATGAGATGCAGCTTTAAAAACAATGTTTGTGAGTGTACAGGATGATGGAATGGTATTTCTTACTTTCCAGGGGCAAATAGTTGTATTCCAAGGGTGATTCAGAAAACTCCAGTGAATTCCTAATCAGGAGGTCTATGGAAAACCACTGAATTTTATATTTTTCTTGTACCTCAGCAAAAAATGACATTTATTTCTCTGTTTTCCCTAAAACAGGGTTTAGTGCCTCAGTAAGACACACAATCTCTTGCCTGGTTGATCATTTTGAGCAAATATTTGTTTTTAAAGGTGTGTGCTGTGTGTGCTTTTGGGTTTTTTCTTTTTTTTTTTTAGTTTATGCATGGCTTAGACTTTGAATTAGTTGAACCTAAATTGCTGCTGCCTCCTCAGTTCATATGACAGATCTCATTTAAACACTTTCTCTTATTGCTTCTGTTATTTTGCAGTTATTCTTGAAGCACTTACAAGTGCATCCTATACAGTTAATTTTTGTGTGTTTGAATTTAGACTGCATTTGTGAATTCCTGTGTTTGAAAGCTTACCTGATGCTAGGTCTCCTGTATGAAATCCTACTGCTGTGTTTGTGGTTCACCACCGCTGGCTGCTTTCTTTTTATGATAGATGCATGTATTTATATACTTCATATACTTATGTGTGTATGTTTGAAAGCATTTTACTCAGTCCTTGTCCTTGAGATGCTATAATTAACAGCTCCAGTTTCTGAAGCAGCAGATTTACCAGCAGATTTATAATTCCTGAGCTTTTGTCACGTCAGAGCAACCCATGCTGTTTGTTCGTTCCAGCAAAGTTGGAATTCAGAACTGTCTTTTGTTAAGACTTCCTCAATGTACAAAGGGAAGATGATGACATTATTCTCTTTTCATGTACAATATAGATGCTTTTTTGGCGCCTGTTTAGATTAGTCTCAGGGAATGTGTGGTTGTTTTTGTTTGTTTTCTCAATTCTGTCAAATTTAGTGAATAATCTGTTGGGAGATGTGAGTTGTCTTTCCTGTACTATCCAAGAAGACGTGGTTTTGATTCTTGGATTTAAATAACATGTAGTTATTCAGTTTAAATAGTTAATTCAGGAAGGAAAGAAGTTCCAAGTATTTTTCACTTTTGCTCTTGTGTATTGCAGTCTCCTGGACTGACTGAAATATGTTACTGCTCATACTTCAGTTGGTCATTTGGTTAATCCCTCAGCACAATGTGATTGTTTCCCACTGCTGAGCACTACAGTATCATGGAAAATTAGGCAGAAGTAGTCTATATTATATTGTGCTCTGAGGACGTAAGAAATTTTAAGAAAATCTGTTATGTTGTATTTACAATTTTTGGATTACTGGCACTTTCTCACAAATGAGGCAAATATAATTTCGTTGTTAATATGCACATGCTGTGAATTCAGCCCCAGATTCCTATCTGCTGAGCAGACCCTACGAGGTCATGAACTCTGGATGTGAAATTCAGAGTACCCATGAATCCCTAAGAAATTCACATGCTGTACTGAACATCTTCAGTCATTGGATTAACTTAATGGAAATAGCAATTCATCATTAGAATTCTTACTAATTTTTCTTTGAGATCTTTCTGATAAAACTTTTTCAATAATTTACTACATATTATTTTGTAGCAAACGAATTTTTAAACCTTTAATTGCTTGATTATTTTATTCTATTTAGTTATTGTGTTGGATTGAAAATAGTTTGAAGTGTTGCATGAGGAAGTTATTCTCTCTAATTGCTTCTAAATGTGTGGGAAAACTAACAGGTTCTCTTTTTGTTAATTTATTTATTCATCTATAAAATGTTTCACTTTGGTTCACTGTCTGATTTCAGATATGTATTGCTTCCAAAACATGTGTTGTCTTTGACTTAATACCTGCTAGAAGGCGGTTTTTACCAATTATATTTCAAAGGTGATAATCCTGAAAAGCAGTCCTATTTAGTATATCATAGGATGCGCATATGGAAATGAGTCTGTTTGTTATAGTTGCGTATTCTAATCTAATGTATAATGGGAAGCCTGGGATAGTCTTTCTGAGATCACGGAGAAGAGAGATGTCTCTGTGAAGAAGGGCAGGAGGATTTATTTTCTCCCATTTTCCCAAAGCCGTATGGGAAGAAACTGGCGTGTTATTTTATTCCTTTAGTTACTGAATTAAAATACTTCCTTTGAAGCTGTAGAGTGAAATATGAGAAAAGTGGGGGTTTCAAATATTTTCTTCCATATATTAGAGATCATTCTTGTATGAATATTCCACTTCTGCTGCTTTGGCAAAATAGATTTGCTCTTTAAAATGAAGATTTAAATATTGTTCGTTATTAAACAGTTTCATGAATAGGAGCAAGGTACTAATTCTATTTTGTTCCTCACTGAAGAGGTAAAGATTGAGATATGTTCTTTGCAGGAGTATCTGGTAACGTGGTGAATGTACTTTTTAATCAACCTACTCAACTTTTTAATTTACCTACTCAATAATAGAACTGGAGATGTTTTCAGAAGACTCTGGAGATGCTGAGTGTATCTTTTTGTATGATTGAATTAAAAGCTTTGCTTTTAATGTGTAAAATGTTTTGGATTGGAGAAATACACCAGATCTTGAAGATGCTTCCCTTGAAGACTTACTAAAAATGGTCCAGAGACATGAAATCTTGAGTTGTAACTTAGTGAATGGAGCTTATTTATATGTTACAAATTTTATTAAATTCCTCTTTCAGGTGGCATGTTTTGTAAAACGTGTACTTCTGTTGTAGGTTGCTTCAGAGAAATTGGACTCCTTTGCATCCATGTTGAGGCATTCTCCTTTAATTCAGCTGGGACCTGCCAAAGATAAAATTGCCATTGGTCAAATATTCCATACTGTGGGTGATGATCTTTATATAGATTTTGGTGGCAAGTTTCATTGTGTCTGCAAAAGACCGGAATTAGATGGAAAGTAAGTAATACAGTTATGGTAAGTGATTAAAATAAGTGAAGGAGACACTGGAATGGTTAGATAATTGGACTCGATCTTTTGGAGTAAGCTCTATAAATTATGTGGCTTAAACTACAGAAGTTAAAATATCGTGCTGAATGAATGTATTATGACAAACAGATAGGCTTAGCTCAGAAATTGTTGTATCGAATGCAAATTCTTTTGTAGGTTTACATTACTGATACCTATGTTATTGCAGCTTACAAAGGCCAAAACAAGTTACTTTTTTTTAAAGTGTGATTTGTTTGCAGAACGCTATGGCTTTAACATAATTTGCTACTATTTTCTGTTTTGTATGCGTGTGAATATGCAAGTTCTCAGAATTTTTCTTCCACTTTGAAATGCGTATTGGCTGCAGGTTGATAATGAGTGGTTGGACTCAATAGTTTTGTTACAGAATTTGGCATTGCCTTCATGTGTAATTTATCTTTTGTTGCTGTTTGATTCAACACAGCTAATTTATATTTTTCTTAAGAATAACTACGTCTTTATAATTTTAGATTAAATATTAAAGAAACTTATAATACTGCTTCAATTACAGATAAGAAAATCTCTGAGCTTAAGAAGCTGTTAGCTCTAAAAGAAATCAGAGCATTTGTGGTGAGAGCAGTGAATGTAATCCATCTCTTCTGTAATATGGACTTAATATTTCTTTTTGGGAGGAGAAGCCTCCTCTCCTTGTGATTTTTCAGAAAGAGACCTTTGCAAATTTGAACAGAATGCAGACTGATTCGTTATTGTTTTCTTGAGTCTGCAGGGGCAAGCTCTGTGCCCAGCCTAGTTCATAACTTTGCTAAATTACAGCAGTAGAAATGAAACTAACAATTATAGCCATTGCCATTGCAGTAGTTTGAAATCTATCAGATTGGAGATTTAGGGATCAAAGTACTGTTTGAGAAAGGAGAACAGCAAGAGGACAGATCCTGGAGTTTTCATGAGGAAGAAAATCCAAAAACACATGGTTACGAGAAAGAGTAGTAGCACGGACCCAGCTCTTGAGAGCAGCTAAGGAGATTGAGGAATAGTGTTAGCGCCACAGAAGTACTCATGTGTCTATCTAGTGGGTGTTTGAAGAGTTGGTAAAGCGGTTAGGTTTCTAAATGTCTTTAATGATTTGGTCCAGTTTCTTCTTCCCTACAGCGCTAAGCTGAAGCTTTTGAGATACAAATCAACACTAGAGGCTGATTATAGGAGACCTCCAAATGGATGTAAGGACAGCAGCCTAGAAGCAAACTCTTTGCAGCAACTACAGTTGAGAGGGAGCTCTGCTTTTTAGTTTTGAATTTTCCTGAAGGGAGACCTCTGTCTCTTTTCTCATTTACACTTGTGCAGTAGGTTTTGCCCTCTGACTAGTAGGTATTTTGTCACTGAAGACAGGAGAAGTTGTTATCACCTTAGTTGTTACAACGAGCCTTTCTACTTGAAATACGTGTAGATTTTGTGAATATGTAACTTTAATCCCTTCTGAATTGTAAGCCTTCTGGGGCAGGAGCTCTCTTATGCTAAATATATGTATGTGAGCTGACAGACCGGGGAGTTTGCATGTTATTTGTATTAATACCGTTCTAATAGATAATCAGTGTTATTGCACTGTTCTGAGCTAGAACTATTGTGCTAGGGAATATAATAGTAAAAGAAGTAAAAGATAAGCAAGGAAAAAATTCTGGTGGGAATTACATTTATAAGCTTTCTAAACTCTCTCTTTAACGCCTTCTGATTGTTTGTTATTTAATGATAGGGTGCACAGTGTGTTCGTAGTATTAATAAGATACTGTATTTCCTTTTAAATGTAGCTTTAAACTGATGTTTGATTTCTCACAGTAGCACTTTGCTTTTGTATACGGCTGATCTGTATGAACAATAAAAATTACCTGGTCTATTGAATTTTTCTTCAGGATGCTTTAAAATCTAGCTTTCAATAGGCTGGCAAAGTACCATTGTACAGATTCCCATCCTTTACATATTTTATTTCATCTTTTTCCACCTTTTTTCTTTGAGAGAGGGAGGATACCTGTGTTTGTAACATCATGACTGTGTCTAAAACATTAAATATAGACCCTATGATAAAGGATTTTTCAATAGTTTATTTTTAAAAAGCTTTATTAGAAATATCAGGGTTAAATATTTCTATATTATGACTATACCTTTCACAGCACACATTTCTGACAAGTCTGTCTTTCAAAGCAAATGTGATTGATAGCTATGAAGTAGATAATGTGCTATGCGTGTTAGAAGATGTACAGACATTGTTTTTCTGACATAAGGTAATTTTTGTTTAGGCTACAGGCTGAGCAAAACCAAAAGTGTGGCGCTCTGATGAACATGCCCAAGAGACTCTTCAAGTTTTGCCAGCTTGAGGTCAGGACATTCAGTGCTACTGCAGCTGACTTGCTTTGTAAAGCACAGGAAAAGATAGTTCAGTGAGAGACGTGAAAAGAAATGTGGTTTTATAAAATGAGTTTTATCAATTGTATGTTTGATTTTAAGATTCTTGGCTGCTTGTTTTGGTAACTGTATTCTATTTGAGTCCTATCATATTTATTAGTGCATTCCTGAAAAATTAAACACCAGGAAGAAGATTGAAAGTCCTTGCTTAAAATAGATCATGATATGAAGGGAAATATGTTGATTTTAATCATTGAGCTGTCAAATCATTTAGATTAGAAGAAGCCTCTTGAGGTCTCAAGTCCAAACCCTCCTCAGAGGAAGGCTAACTTCATAGTTAGGTGATGTTGCTTAAGGCCTCATCCAAACAAGCTGTGAAAATGTGAGGTATTGTGGGAAATGAGACCCAACCAAGCTATTATCAGAGCAGTATAGCGCCTTCCAGCAGATCTTTCAGAATGAGTAAGTTGCCCCTTGAACACCTTGAATGTAAATGTGGGACCTGGGAGGGTCTATGCCAATAATTTTCTGGCTGTTAATTTGGATGATAAAAATAAGGAGATATAAATAAGGTTCTTTTGTTTTTTTGTTTTCCCGTTCTTTCGGGTGGCATTGGAAAGGGAGAAATAACAAGTCTGGACATTTTTAATGAAATAAAATTTGGAACTTAAAGGTGGTTCACAAAATGATACGGGCGTCATTTACATCATTGAGGTGGTGGTGGTAGTACTCTCTTTCTGAAAGATTTACAGTATTCATCTGGGATATCGGAGACAGACTCAAATCCTTTTTCCTCTCAAAGCTGAGGAGCTTGAATTTATTTCTGACTTGTCAATTGTTTAAATGCCCTATGGACCTTATCCTCAACTTAAAGTACTCCCATTGGAAAATGTTTAAATCAATCTTGCCACCTTGTTCCACTGCATTTTATCTGATTCTGGTTTGGCTGGAATTTCTAAAATTTTACCTGGATTTGCCAAAAAATGCTGTTGCAGGACAGTCTTTTATTGTTTTTTGTTATTGGCTTGTAATGAGGTGCTTCATAGCATATAATTGAATCAGTCCATTGCTAAATGAAATTTGTGTCATGTTTGCAGAGCAACCGTAGAATCCAAAATCGGAAAACTGCTGTCTAAACTAGCTGCACGTATCAATAGTATTTAGATAGTACAGGGTTTGACTTTTACTGCTTATTAAAAAAGTAGTGGGAAGGATGTGCCTTCACTTGTACGATTGCTTTAGTCTGCTTCGTCGGTAAAGAGAGCAGTTCATTGATTTACAAAGTAAAGTTTGCCTTATCAAAACAAGTACAATCTTTTCATAGAACAGCCTTTTAGTAAGTGCGAAGACTCAGCGTCTTTGGCTGCTCATACACCTTTAACTGAGATGCGCACTTGCTTCTGTTTGGAAGGCAATAATAGTTTTTGATAACCAAAATAAAGACCAAAACAGTACCACAGTATCTTCTCCCACAACACAAAAGTAACTCAGTAGCGTTCGCAGTGTGTATTTAGATCTATACCTTACAGTGATGAATTCAATAAGAATTTGTTACTATTATTTTGGTTAATCCACTTGCTGACTAAAGTGACTACAGTGCATTACTAACTTGCACATTACCAGTAGAACTATTTACTGTTTGCAAACTATTTACCCTTTGTGCCAAGGAGAAGAGAAGACGTTTTAACTTACAGATAACATGATTTCTTGAAGGCCAATTCAGGACAAAAAAATCAAATTTAATCTTCAAACATGGAAACTCATGATGCCAAGTCAGTCTTGAGAGCATGACTCTCCTAGTTATCTGTATTTTAATGCTGATCTTTGGTTTTAACTGTGATGCCTTTTCAGGTATTTAGAAACTCCAGCAAAATGTTATTTTAGAATCTTTAATGAAGGAAAAACAAAAACTCTCTCTTGCCGATTAAATAAGGATGCATCTTTGTAAGGATGCGTGCCTTCCTTGGTCACTTGGCTTTGTTCTGGAGTTCTCACCAGAATCAAACTGTTATTCTGTTTGATACTATAATACAGTTTACTTTTTCTGATGTAATGTATTCTTTGCTCTTTGAAAGTGCTGAAAGTCATTTGAAAAGAAACAGAAAAAAACTTTCCTGAGGTTTTGGTCTGTTAAGCTCGTTCCTTTAAACAAACTACTAGTCCTAATCTTGACGGTTCGGATTTACTGGAGTTCAGCTACTGCGTGGCAACAGGAAAGGATTTTGTCCTCAATACTGTCCTAGGTAGAACCACAACTACAGAAAAAGATGTTTCTAGGGTGGAAAATATGAAGTCCTTACCCAAATATATTTTTCCACCTATTCTTCTAAAGTAAAAATTTCAACCTTTTTAAAAATAAATAAGTAAAAGAACTTTAGAACAGTAATGATACAAAGTTGAAACTGAATCAGCATTTGAAGGCTAGGAACCTGCTAGCTATTTCCTCTTGTTTTTTGCTGATTGTCTCCCTCCCTTCTATACTCTTTGGAAAAACTGTTTCATAGGTTTGGAAAACATTTCATTATATTGAGATTGGAAGCATAAGTCAGCTTGCTTAGACACCGAAGATACTGTTG